AGTGGTGGACAGGTTGTACTCAACCTGGCAAGATATGGGCAGAGGGGTACCCCAGGGCTTGATCCTTGGGCCCGCACTGTTTAACATCTTCATCAGCAAGTTGGACGAGGGGGTGGAAAGCACGCTGTCCTAGTTTGCTGGTGACGCTAAGATGTGTGGCGAGGTGGACACACTTGAAGGAAGAGAGAGTCTGCAAATAGATTTAGACAGACTACAAAAGTGGGCAGAAAAGAATAGGATGGAGTTCAACGTAGACAAATGTAGGGTGCTGCACCTTGGGAGAAAGAATCCACAGCATACCCACAGGCTGGGGAGTTCCCTCCTTGAAAGCACAGGGGTAGAAAGGGATCTTGGAGTCATTATTGACTCCAAGATGAACATGAGCTGCCAATGCCAGACCGCAGCCAGCAAGGCCAGCCATACCTGGTCATGCATCCAAAGGTGCATTTCAAGCCAGTCCAGAGAGATGATACTCCCCCTCTATGCAACATTGGTCAGGCCGCAGTTGGAGTACTGTGTCCAGTACTGGGTGCCTCACTTCAAAAGGGATGTGGCCAGCCTGGAGAGGGTTCAGAGGAGGGCCACCCACTTGGTGAGAGGGCAGCAGGACAGGCCCTACGAGGAGAGACTGAGGGACCTAAACCTGTTCAGCCTCAGCAAGAGGAGTCTGAGAGAGGACCTGGTGGCTGCCTACAAATTCTTCAGGGGAGATCAAGAGCAAACAGGTAGAGCCCTTTTCTCCCCAGCACCACCTGGGGTGACAAGGAACAATGGTAACAAGCTGATGGAGAATAGGTTTAGGTTAGAGATCAGAAGACAATTTTTTACAGTTAGGGTGGCCAGAATCTGGAACCAACTTCCCAGGGAAGTGGTCCTCACCCCTACCTTGGGCAAATTCAGGAGGAGGTTGGATGATCACCTGTCTGGGGTCTTGTGAACCCAGCATTCATTCCTGCCTTTGGCAGGGGGTCAGGCTAGATGATCTGTTCAGGTCCCTCCAGACCCTGGCTACTATGAAACTATTTCACCAGCACATCACTCTGTCAGAGCAGCATTTCTGTACCTACCTTACAACAGAAGACTGAAAGTCAGGACTCCTTGGGGACATCTACACAAGACATTGGCTTGCGCAATAGCTGAAAAATACTGCACAGTAGCGCATCATAGCATAGACAGTGCTAATACATTACTGTGCAGTATTATTAGGCTACCACGCAGTAGCGTCAAAGATGTTCACTGTTGATACTTTGCAGTAACTCCAGTTACTGTGCATTTATTTAGTACTTGCTAATACAAGTACTAAATAAATGCACAGTAATGACTGTGCAGTAGCATCTCATGTAGACATGCCCCTTAAGTCCTATATTCTAGGTCTTCCATTGACTTAGTAACCACATGCCAGTCACTTAATGTAACCTTCCTGTCCCTCATTTTTCTCATGGGTCAGTTAGTGCTTTTACCTATTTCCTTGGCATGTTATGAGGTGGAGTTTTTTTGCAAATATATCTACAATGGAATGAATGGAACATGCTATATGTGGTATTATTTTTATAGGAATTAAATCTCCAAAATCACATAGGCAGAAAAATCAAACATCAGTTTTATTTGAAACTTGATTCCAAAGTGAGATGGTTTAATACAGTTTCTACTTATAGTACTGTGTATTAACACTTGGGTTAAAGAGCCTTACTTAGCCTGTGGCCATGCTGCATCCTGGTGATGATAGGTAAAGAAATTCTCAGCCTACATGCATCTGAAAAATAAAAATGTCTGTGCTGTTATAGGTCAACTTCCTCCAGTTGGTTCCAGGTGTTATTGGGAGTCCAGTGACCGTAGCAGCTGCTGAAGATGTTGTCTATCTCCTGAAAGCAGAACAGCCAGGAAAAATTCTTCATTCAGTGTATGGTCAGCCTGTCACGTGTCTCGATGTGTCTGCCAATGAGGCAGCCTTTGGAGTCAAAGGCTTTGGCTGGTTATTAAATGAGACCAACAAGGTAATTAAAAATAGGGGGTTTTTTTCCTTTGCAGCTATCTAGGTGCTTCCCATCATTGCTGGGTTTTTTCTTTTATATGGATTGAGTGGGAGTGCAGTCTCTTAATATAATTCTTTGGTGCTTAGAAGAACTTTTTTTCTTTGGGCATGAAATGGGGAACTGTTGATGCTTCAGTAGCTTGGTCAAAAGGCTCATACGAGCTTTGGTAAGTAACTTGTATTTGCTTCTCCTTAGTTAACTGGAATAGATACAGCTGTGCGTTCTACAGCATCAGCCCTCTAGGGGGAACTCTTTTCTTTTTAAAATAAATCTATCTGAAGTATGCTAAGCAACAAGTCAAACCTTGTTTGTGCAGTCCTTGAAGAATGCTCTTATTTTTTGGTTTTGTATTTGAACTACTTTATTTCCAAGCCTGATTATTGCTCTAGAGGTTTGTCATAAGCCTGAAGCCTTTTATAAGACTTTCTGCTTCCTTCATCAGCAGATTTGATGGAATGCAGATTCTGTATTGCATTTTTGCTTAAAAGGAAGGTAGCTCAGGCAGGCTCTAACCACTGAGATGTAGTCAAGCACCTACCAAGTGTTCAGCACTCCAGTGAATCCAAGGCTTTACAGAGATTTTAAATTTGTCATTGAGGTTGACATGTCATCTGCCATGGCACAGCATGTTGTGTTTTCTTGTCCTGGTGACTAGATTGAGACATTGGGAATATGCTTCATAGAAATTCTGTACCAGTATGGACTTAGTATTTCAGATATTTTGTTGTAGAATTTAAGCTTTTGTTAGAGGAAAAAAATCAAGTTCTTCTGCGGTAATTCCACCTTCCTCCCCCATGTTAATCAGTATAGAGATGTCTTATAGTGTCTGTACACTGATTGAAGCAACTCTGAGTAGTGTAAATTTGCTTCATTTATCGCATTGAATAGTTATCCCTAAAAATGAATAATGGTAAATGAAATATTGGCTAGTGTGAATGTTTCTATTAATCCTCATCTTTTTTGGAACCATCCAGCTGGTCTGTGTTAATTATGGTCGCATGTTGCAGAAGTTAGAGAGAGAATTTCATTTTGATAGAATCAGAGAAGTAAGGTTGGAAGGGACCTCCATAGATCATCTAGTCCAATCCTCTGCCTGAGATAGGATCATCCAAACCATCCTATATAAATCCATTAACAAACCTCTTAGTAAGACTGCTGACAACCCTGGCACAATGCAAGAAATAACACCCTAGGACCATAACAGCTAACATCCTGCTTCTGTAAAACGTTGTTAACATATGCTCAGTGGATGCCAGGTAGAGGGCCATGCCCCCCACTACAGAGGATGGCAAAAAAACCCACAGTCTATTGCAGTGCAGGGATTATTCTGTACCATAATAGCTGCCAGTGTTTTCCCTAGTACTGTTTTAAATGTTTCAAGCAACAGAGCCTTCCATCACCTTCTTTGGAGACTGTTTTACAGTCTAACAGATCTACTCTCAAAAAACTTCTCCTCTGGTGTGGCCCTTTGCATCCCTCTTCCCCCTCCCCCATTCTCTCTTTAACTTTCCTTCTTAGTTTCATCCCATTGCTTCTGTTTACAGTGGCAATGCTCAAAGGTGGTTTTGTTAAGTCCCCAGAGTTCAGTCCCTACTCCAGTGTCATACCAGTGGCTGTTTCCCATTGGGTGCATCTACATGTGCTATTAATGTGCAGCAATAAACTCTGGAGCTTATTGCTCTGGAGTTTATTGCTACCTGGAAGCTTCCGGTTGAACCGTTTACACATGCACCCAGACTGCAGCACATCGAGGCGGGTTACAGCAGCCCCAGCTGGCAGGGGACCTGGGAGGTCAGCACGCGTGGAGACACTGAGATGTTTACTGCAGAGCTAATTAGTCAGTGCCCCAGTCAGGGCCATCTCTGGAGGGTGAAAAATGGGGTGACCACCCCAGGCCCCGTGCTTTGAGGGGCCCTACAGAGCCAGGGCGGAGTGGCATGGTGACTCCGCGCTGCTGCCAACTTCATGTCTGGCCTCTCAGCATGCCTCCCCCCTGCCGCTCAGTCCGCTGCCACTTACCACCTCCCCTGCCACCGAATCTGCCTCTGGCTTCCTCGCATCTGGGAGCGGGGCCCCGCACCCTGCTCAGGTCATCTCTGGCCCCAGTAAATATCTCGTGTAGACACGCCCATTGATTCAGTAGTAAATTCAGTAGCCATTCAGTCCAGTCAGATCACTCCCATGTATGCAGTTGGCTACAAAAACTGGCCTGTCAGCACCCTGTGGACTGCTGGGCTTGGGAGGACCTTTGACTTCTGATTATGTGCAGGGCTCATAGTGAGTTACTATGGCACAGGAGAACAAGGACAACTTCTGAGGGGAAGCAAGCAGAAACATGAGAATGGGAGCTGTAGCCAGTGGTTACTAGTGCATTTTAACTGTTTTTTTTCCCTGTTTGGAAACTGAATAGAATGGGGAAGCTTTCTTTTTAATTAGCTCCATGCTGGAAGTGAAACTGTCCAGCTGCTTCTAATCTCCCCTTAAAATTCCCTTTCACACACAAAGCACTGAAACCTTCATAAATACCTTTAGGGGTGAGAGATGCTGTGAAGCCATACTGTATTATTAATTCCTTTGTCATCCTAATCCAATTTTTTTCTCACAGAGGTGGGAGGTTAGATAATAGAATTGCCTCATTCAAGACCATTACATCGGCTTTCGCCTTTGTGCCTCATAAAGGAATAGAGAAATCTACTTAGAGCCCCTAGCATCATTCTGTAGAGTTGGACATATTTCCTAATTCAGTTCTGAAGTATTTGGCATTTAATGGCAGATTGTATTAAGCAATGCATCAGTGCGCATCCTAATCAGGGAGATGTGACTGAAGTAGTCCAGACGGCTGGGGTGTGTTTGACAAGGACGCTTGCTTGGCATTGCTACACCAGCTGACATCACGCCGGAAATTAATTACTAATGTCTATTATGATAATTATTCCCCCCACACAGACGTGAAGGGACTTTGCATTGGTTGATTACTCCAGTTACAAGTTGACAGTCTGTCTTTAGAAGAGCCTTCGATCTCAGGAACGTATCAATGATGAATTCCCACCCTTTTTGCTAACAGCTGCCTCATTTTAGTATAAAAGCTGCATCCCATTTTGTTTGAGGTCTGTATTATATGCAGCGTGTTAATTATTATTATTATTATTTATTATTATTACATGAGCCTTTTAACTGCCTGGTATTTTTTTAGTGTGGACGTTAAATACCTGGACACTATCAGCATGCCTCACAGTCAATAAAATTCATAAAGTTGGATAATGGTATTAAGCAAAAGGTGTTGGATTCATCCCTTATGTAACTCCATTGATGTCAATGGATATAAATTAGGAATGACTCTGGGTTTGTGATGCATAGGAGAAGACACGTTAAAAAGTGAATTTGTAAAATGCATAGAATGAAGGACTATTAACTCAGAAAGCATACTCTGCCTGGGCTCTTATGCTTCGATCCGGACCTGCAGCACCTTGGCTAATCCAGCCCTGCCTCTCCATATACCCAGTTCTTCCAGTAAATGTCAGTGTTGACTGAAATGCGTGGTGTATCAGATCCGATGGCTTTTTCCTTAGTAGTATCTTGTACTTGGATATAAACTCTTTAGGAATTGTGCTGAGAACACGAAATTCATTTTACTTGTGAGCCACCAAGATTTGAACTCTGGAAAAAAAATTCTATGATAGTTTCTTAGCATTGGAACAATCAACCTGTTGAGCAAAATGGATGCTTTTACAACTACAGAACAAGATTCTGGGAAAGAAAATGACCTTTGTGGGAGCCTTTGTGGTACTAAGTGGAGAACCTTCTTGAATTATTGTATTTTCTCAAATATAAGATACATTTGCACCCCAAAATTGGACTGTCTGTATTAAATGGGGAAGCTGATTTTCTGACCAGCATATAAGCACCCTGCTTTGATTTCTGCTACATAGTGCAGCAGCTGTTGCATTACTGTTCAGGCAGCTGAGGAAGTCACTTGACTTAATCTCCTATTGTTCTTCACTCCAGAGGTGTTAATGATGGTCTCTCCTTTTTGATGGTTGTGAAGTTCCACTAATCAAGCTAACCTTTCCTCGGGCAATTTTGTTGTCTGCTTGTGTGTCCTGGTTCCTCCTCCTACTTCACAGCTCTTTGGTTCTGAGTAAATCCACCCATGGAAGTGAACCTTTAGCCTCAGATAGGGTTTTTTTAGGCAGGAAAGGTAGGATGAGCCAGCTAAAGATTAGGCTTTCTCCCTGCTGTATACAAACTCTGGAAACATTTTTTCTTCATTTTGCCTTTCAAAAACAAGATGCAGGGGTATGTCATATGTGAGAAAAGATGGCATTTCCTCATTTGTGGATTCATTTCATACACACATTGTGTAGGTGCTCCTGCCATCCTGTATCTCTGTCCCCTATATTAGCTGATGTAATGGCAAAGGGCTAGTGGTGTGTGTTATTCTGTTTTGGGTTTTGGCCCCTGCATGATCATAAGATATTTAAAGATAATTCTGTGAGGAGTTTTAGGGGGAAAGGTTGGCTGGAAAGAGGATATTTGAATAGCACTCCTCAGACTGGATAGCTTTGCTGCATCCACATGAGCAAATGTGTGTGTTTGCAGCAGCACAGATAGTAGTGGCACAAATTTGTGCTGCTACTTTGTGCTGCAGTGCATACCCCTGCTCATGAGGTTCACAGCAGAACACATTGTCCTGCTGCTCCATGTGCTGCAGGGCGGGAGAAGGGGGCTGGCTAGGGTACAGGGTGCCTCAGCGTGGAGCTAGCTGGAAGGCAGCTCCCAAGCTGAGGCACCCTGTGCTCCAGACAACCGGGGAGCAGCATGTGGAGATGGGGGAACAAGCAGCCCAGGGCTGCCTGCTCCCCCATCTCCATGCACTGTGGAGCCTCGGCGCTGAGGCACCCTGTGCCCCAGCCAGCCTTTTCCCAGCCCAGGGCTGCCTGCTCCTCTGTCTTGAGGCACCC